TTTTAATTAATTAGAATTTTAGTTATAGCTAGTTTTAATTATTTAAATCTTTTAACTAGAATAGGAGTTGAATCATAATAGATAATAATAGTTTCTCCGAATTTTATTTCGAATGTCCTTTTAAAAATGGAATCGAGGTGCGCCGTGCCAAAATAAATCACAAACTGCGTGGCCCTCTTTAATTACTTCTTTAAAATCCTTAGAACTCGGGACGTGCCGTTTAGCGAATTTTCATGGCCTCCCACGAAGTTAACAACGCGTTAGTTGCTTTAGGCGCGTCTTTTAATAATATTACCATCCTAAACTCGGGTGTGCATTTCATGTGACCCAAATCCAAATCCTAAAACGTTGAATAAAATGTGTTTCGGATTCCGGGTGCATTTCATGTGACGCGATCCAAAGACATGTTTTAAACGACGTTCAATCTTCCTTAAAAATTAATTAAAAGCGGCAAATAACTTAAAATTGCATCATAAGTTGAAACATGCATTAAAATCAGATAATAGGCCAATTGTAATGGTTTAAGCGACCGTGCTAGAATCACGGAATCCGGGGGTGCCTAACAACTTCCCCCGGGTTAACAGAATTCCTTAGTCAAAATTTCTGGTTCGCAGACTTCACATGGAAAGTCGAAATTTTCCTCGATTTGCGATTCAAAATAAACTGGTGACTTGGGACACCAAAAACCATCCCAAGTGGCGACTCTGATCCTTAGATAATTCCATTTCGAATAATGTCACTTAAATTGGAAAAAATCCCTTATACACTAATCCTTCAGGGTGGGTGTGTAAAAAAGGAGGTGTGACAATCATGTGGTTACATCTTGGGTTATGTTTATGGCTTGATACAGACGTTCAGACTTATACAGTGTGTAGATGCGAGATTCAGGTCTTGTAAGGAATTCCTTATGTTGGAAATTGGGTTCTAAGGCTTACAGACTAAGGTTAAAGTAATGATCTTCAGTTATGATGTGCTGTCAGGCTTACATAGATTGGGGTGACGTGGTATCACCCCCGGGTATGTGCATGGTAAGGTTACACGGCGATTTGATGGCTTTGGAACGACTCTTGGCACGTTCGAGGATGAACATATGTTTAAGTGGGGGAGAATGTAACGACCTAGTGGGTCGTTTTGAGCATTTGCATTCCGTTCAGCTATTTGAAGTCTTGAATAGCATCGTATGATGTATTATGAATCATGTGAATCATCGGTTTTGGCTTTCAGGTTATTCGGAATTGATTTGGAATAATGATTCTTTACGAGGAAGCTTTAAGTTGGAAGAGTTGACCAAGTTTGACATTTTAGTACTTGACCTCAGATTGGAGTTTTGATGATTCCGGTAGGTCCGGATGGTGATTTGGACTTGGGCATATGCCCGAATTTGCATTTGAATATTTCTAGAAGGTATCGGTACTATTTGACGAAAGTTGGAAATTTGAAGGTTTGGAATGTTCATAAGTTTGACTGGGAGTTGACTTTTATCGGGTTCGGATTGTGGTTTCAGGAATTGGAATAGCTTTGTTATGTCATTTGGGGACTTGTGTGAAAAATTTGAGTTCATTCCGAGTTGATTTGATAAGGTTCGGCACGAGTTTGAAAGTTAAAAGTTTCAAAGTTCATTAAGAGTTCGATTTGAGGTGCGATTCGTGGTTTTGATGCTGTTATACGTGATTTGAGGCCTCGAATAAGTCCGTGTTATGCTATAAGACTTGTTGGTATGTTCGGACGAGGTCCCGAGGGGCTCGGGTGAGTTTCGGATAGGTTTGTGTTGTGTTGCGCTCGTTTTTGATGTTTCAATGTTGTTTCTACAAGCATAAATGGTACCACATTAAGAAAATGAGTTCCAATTTCTATTTTGATAGAATCATTAGATCCGTATCGTAATTTTGGAATCATAGCAACTTGAATCATCAAGTTTTGACATCGTATTAGGAATTTATGGTCATTTTACTAAGAATTGGGTTGCTAGATTTTTTTTCAGATTAATTACGAAATTACCACTGAATTCGTATTTAAAAATCTTCACTATTTCGAAATATTGAAACCAACATATCTCTTTTATTATAAGGTCAAATGGAGTGATTCAAAAGCCTAACATGATTGGAATTTTGTGAGGAATCTATTGGAGGCATCAAAAGTGAGTTTCGGTGTTATTTGGCACAAGAAACAAGGTAGAACAACTGGGTAGAAACATTTAATATCGAGGGTTTGTTCATTTGGTAATATTTTTAGTTGGGGAGCTCGAATTTGGGCAATTTTGGACGCGATTTTCACCACACCGATTGGGGTAAATGTTCTATTCTCACTTTTGGTTATATTTCATGAATCCATTTTCGTTTTTGGCATTTGATTGATGATTTCAAAGTGAATTTGGGGGTTCGTCTAAAATTTCATAAAGTGAATTTTTGAGTTTTGAACATCGTTTCGGTGTCAGATTTGAGTGAAACTAGTATGGTTGGACTCGTACTTGAATGGGTTGTTGGATTTTGTGAGTTTTGATGGGTTCCGAGGTGCGAGACCGGGTTTTGACTTTTTGGTTGACTTTGGGCTTTTGATTAAAGATCTGACCTTTATCGATTGGGTTTGTTTCCTTTGGCATTATTTGATGTTCTTGAGTCGCTTTTTGCTAGTTTCGAGCCATTCAGAGGTCGGTACACATGAGATGACGCTTCTAGAGTATTGTTCTGCTTGCTCGATATTAGATTTGGCTTGTTCGAGGTAAGTAACACTTCTAAACTTGGTGATGAGGGTATGAATCCCTGAACATACGTGTTATGAATTTGGTGTTGAGGTGACGCACATGCTAGGTGATGAGCGTGCACCGTGAGAATTATGACTTGGTTGATTCTGTTATATTGTGTACTAGACCTAATCTTGTTTCTATCCATTAAATTTCCACGTGTTAGACAAATTGAGCTGTGAATTACGTTAGAAATCTTGTTTAGGCTATATGCTTATTCTGTTGGGACCCGCTGAGGTGATCTCTCCTGTTGAGTTATTTGCTAAAATTATAGTTACATACATAGTCATATTCATTCATTCGCATATCATATCTCAGTCTCTGTTGTCACATCATGTTATCATTGTTTGGGCTGATTGGTATGAGATTCTTGAGCCCAGAGGTTATAGATATTGATGACTAAGTAGGAGCCTGAGAGCCATGTTGTGAGAGATATTGTGGATCGGGCTGCACGCCGCAACATGCCATATTGGCTTTATATATATTATTATTATTATATGGATCGGGCTGCACGCTGCGTCAGGCCTTATAGGATTTATTGTCATGATGGGATCGGGCTGCATGCCGCAACAAGTTTTATTGATTCATGATGGGATTGGGTTGTGTCGCGCCCCTTTTTCTCGCGAAATCGGGTTTCGACACATGACAACTCTTTTTAGGAAGGGTTTTAAAAGAGAGAGTCGCCACCTAACGACTTTAAGGTGCGTTAGGGCACCTATTTGCAAATAACTCTGTTTGACCAGTTTAAATTACCAAAAATCAGGTAAGGGCTCAAAATTACCTCGAAGAGAAGGTGTTAGGCACTCTTCGAGGTCCACAACTGTGGGTCCAGGCCGAACTCAATTATATAAATTAGTCTATGTGATCAAAGCTAAGAAACAAGGAATTACTAAACGTGAATAAATAATTGAAAGACAAAGGGGAGGGGGGTCCTAAGTTTTTTAGCCTAAAGGATCACCACGTGCAACATAAATAATACTTCGTAACTCCCTCGAGATGGGGTGTTACTCATATATTCAGCAGGCACAGACTATCATCTCCTGCTACCCAATTACTATCTTTAAGTTGTTTACTTAAAGCGCACTAGTCAATTCTAAGTGGTGTCCTACGCGTGCACTACCGTCCCAAACCTATGGTCCAGGAGGCAATTGGACCTCTATTTCAGGGTGTTTCTAGACTTTAACTTAGGCTACTCAAAATGGAAAAATACTAAGAGACAAACAAAACAGTTAGGACTTTCAAATAGAAACGAGTATAGGCTCAAGTTAGCCTCCACATTTAGACATCAAATGCACGGCAAATTGGTTAACATTGACAGATTATATTAATTTTAGAATCCTATAGGCAGGATATCTATGTGATATTGAATGAACAAACAAACAGTCCTGTACAAAATTAGTTTCTTAATGCGAAAAGTAGAACTTACATAGGTTTGCCTACTGATTTTAGCATAGTACGGTTATGCCTATTAGCATGGTATCTAGGTGTTTTATGCGATAGTAGACAGTGGCAGGTCACTTTAACTGATCCAGAATTAATTGTTTGAATCCTATAGGCATGTTTTCTAGTGAGGGTAACAACATAGTATTTGGAAACTCGTGCAGAACTGATAATTAAACAAATTCAGGTCTGTAACGTGCATTCTACATTTTGGTCCAGTTTTAGATCCTATAGGCATGACCTCTACAATTTGGTCCAGTTTTGCACACATATTGGATCATAACATTTCCTATAGGCATGGTTTCTAGCAAAGCAAAACATAACAGAACCAAACATTAAGTCTATAGGCATGGTTGCCCATATAGGATGATTAAACATAATAAGGAACCTATAGGCACACATATTGGATCATAACATTTCCTATGGGCATGGTTTCTAGCAAAGCAAAACATAACAGAACCAAGCATTAAGTCTATAGGCATGGTTGCCCATATAGGATGATTAAACATAATAAGGTACCCATAGGCATGATTTCTAGCACATCACATATAATAGCACACTGTTAGACCTATTGGCAGGATTTCTAACACATTACAAATAATAACACATTGTTGGAGGATTAAAAAAGACCGGATGATAATAATCCTCTCTCTCTAGCGGTTAAGTTTGCTCTGAAGGCACAGGTTAAGTAGAGGTTTGCTAACGTGCTCTATTAGCAATGCCGCACCGGAAATGGAAGGCAGGCAATGCTCCGACCACTATGATGAAGGTAGATGGTGATATGAGGGTTATTACTCCATAGTCAGGAGTCCCTCAAGCTATGGAACCACTGCAATTGAGTAATTGGGTAGCGATTGGAGAAGGATCAAGTTGCATGCTACAGGAAACAACGATGCCGGTGATGTTACAGAAGGAGGAACCAACTAATTCTGCTATTCAAAGACTGAATTTCCCTAAGGAACAAGTTGTACCAAGTCCGATCAAAGTAAAATCTGAAGCTGAAGGTCCTACTATGGCGGATGTGGTGAAAAACAATCGAGCTCAACATCTAGGTATGCAATTGAAGTTTTTCCCTCCAGTCATAAATAATGGAGTTAAAGCAGTGCAATTAAATGAGATCAAGACGGAGAAACATAGTAGGCAATGGATAAATGCTTTGATTGGCTATGTATTAGGAGGTATGCCTAGTTTCAAAGAGATGCTACAATTTGTGTATGGAGTTTGGCAATTTGTGTCAACTCCCAGAGTATTCCTTCATGAAGATGGATACTTCATATTCAAATTTGAATCGGAGGATGATATGAACTTATTGCTTCAGAATGGACCATATACTTTCAATAGTAGGTCGATGATCTTAAAGGAATGGATACCATATTTCACAATGAACAAGGAGCCTCTGCGACTTGTTCCACTATGGGTATCATTCCCTAAGCTACCTCTTCAATGCTGGACTGAGGAGAATTCGGGCTGGTTGGCTAGCTATCTAGGTCGGCCAATATGTACTGATAAATTGACAGCAAAAGGAGATAGGATATCATATGCTACAGTCCTAATTGAGATGGACATAACTCAGCAACTTCCAGAGGTGATAACTATTGAAAAATCTGATGGAACCATATGGGAGCAAGACATAGACTATGATTGGAAGCCTAGATTCTATCAAAACTGTGCACATTTTGGGCATTTCACTGAAAGTTGTGGAAAAGAGGATCAGCAGGAACAAAATGTCCAGCAGAAAGGTCAGAAAAAAGGTAAGCAGAAGCCATCACAGGAGAAGAAAGAATGGAAGGTTAAGCAGGACAAACCAAATATCAAGCCACAAGATCCTATTGCAATTGAGGAAGATCATAGTGCTCCTACAAAGTGCAAGTTCAAAGAAGTGGGAAGCAGGTAGTAGTATTTCAAGGACAAAGGTAGGGAAATCAGCATGAGGTACAGAATCACCAGGAGGAAGATTTGGATAGTGATTCAGAGGAAATTCTGGGGATAAACCAATACTCAGCCTTGAGATGTTATGAAGAAGCAGTTGAAAAGAGAGCAAGTCAGAGACTTGCTAAGAAACAACCTCCATGATCTTTTGTTCCTGGAATATTAGAGGGAGCAATAAAGCCCACAAGCAAAAGGAATTCAAGGATTTTTTGCTTGGAAAAAAGATAGATCTGATTGGTTGCCTTGAGACTAGAGTTAAACAACATAAAGCTGTAAATGTTATCAGAAAGTTTGGAAATGATTGGGAGTTTTATAAAGACTATACTCATGCCCCTAATGGAAGAATATGGGTTGGATGGAGGAGAGCTTCAGTTGCTGTGAATATTAGATATAGTACTACACAGTTGATTCACTGTTTTGTTGAGGATAGGCAATCTCAATTCAATTGTGAATTGACATATGTGTATGGTTACAATACTATTGCAGGGAGAAAACCATTGTGGGATCAACTAAGGAATATTAGAGGTTCTATAAATGGACCTTGGATCCTATTGGGAGACTTTAATACCATACTGTTTAGTGATGATAGAGTTAATGGAGTACCAGTTCATCCTGCTGAGACTGTGGATTTCCAGAATTGTATCACAGATTTGGGAGTGGGACAGGTGACTAGAAAAGGGTGACAGTTTTCCTGGTGCAACAAAAGAGATGAGAATGAAAGGATATATAGTCATATTGATTGGGTGTTTGGTAATGCTGAATGGTTAAAAACTTATGGTAATATTGAATCCAATTATCTGAATCCTGAGTGTTCAGATCACTCTCCCATTGTAATTAACACTGTGATAGCTAAACAATACCTTAAGAAGCCATTAAGACTGCTTAATGTCCAATTACAACTTGATGCTTTCAAGGCAATTGTTCAGAATGTGTGGCAACAGACTATTGAGGGGCATTGTATGTATGGAGTGTGGCAGAAGTTAAAGCTGGTGGAAGCAGAGACTAAACAGTTGAATAAAGAATACTCATCATTAGAAGGCAGGATAATGAATTTGAAGCACAAATTGGGGGAAATTCAAGACAAGTTAGCAGAAGACTTGTTTAACGGTAGCCTGATCAATGAAGAGAAAGAGATACTAATAGAGATGGAAAAATGGGGCACTATTCATGAAAGAGTCCTTCGACAGAAATCCAGAGCTACATGGATTTCCTTAGAGGTCTCTAATACTAGATTCTTTCATGCTCATATGAAAGCTAGACAGGCAAGGAACAGGATCTCTTCTATACAGAATGAACAAGGAGTACTAATCACTGATCCAAAACTAATTCAGCAAGAATTTCTTCAGTTCTTCAAGAAGCTATTGGGTACTGCTGCTGAGGAGCTGCCTTATATTGATACAACTGTTGCAAGGAATGGTCCATGCCTAACTATTGACCAACAAAAAGATTTGATTAAGCCTTTTACTACGGAGGAGGTAAGTTAAGTTGTTCAAAACCTTCCCAATGTCTCCAGGAATTGATGGCTTCCTAGTTGAGTTCTTTAAACTAAACTGGAATATTATTGGGGAAGACATAATAACAGCAGTTATGCAATTCTTTGAGAATGGCCAGCTTCTAAAAGAAATTAACTGTACTACTATAACTCTGGTTCCTAAAGTTCCAGCTCCCACTTTGGTTAAGGATTTTAGACCAATAGTTTGTTGTTCAACTATATACAAGACTATTGCTAAAATATTAACTGAAAGGTTGAAGACAGTATTGGATATGATAGTAGGTCCATCTCAGTCAGCTTTTATTGAAGGGAGGATTATACTAGACAATGTCATAGTAGCTCATGAATTGGTGAAAGGATACTCTAGAAAAGGGGTGTCACCTAGATGTATGGTAAAGATTGACATTAGGAAAGCCTATGATTCAGTGGAGTGGAATTTTTTACAGATGGTGTTGCTTGAATTTGGTTTTCCTGTGAAGATGGTAAATTGGATAATGACTTGTGTTTCAACTGTCAGTTATGCCTTGTTGATCAATGGAGGACTGACTACCAGATTCCAAGCGAAAAAAGGACTCAGGCAGGGGGACCTAATGTCACCCTACCTGTTTGTATTGGCAATGGAGTACTTGAACAGAACCTTGAAGCAGTTGAATGCTAATCCTGACTTTAACTATCACCCCAGATGTTCAAAGCTCAATCTAATTCATATATTTTTTGCAGATGATCTGCTATTATGTTGCAGGGCAGACAAAATTTCAATCCAGTTGATGGTGCAGGCTTTTAATCATTTTTCTGAAGTGTCTGGACTTAAATCCAATATGGAGAAGAGTTCATTGTATATAGCAGGGGTGTCTAATGAATTCAAATACCAGATTATACAAGAGATGGGATTTGCTATTGGAGAAATTCCATTCATATACCTAGGTGTCCCTCTATCTTCAAGGAAGCTTACAGTTCATCAGTGTCTACCCCTAGTAGAGAAGATGATTACAAGAGTTAGATGCTGGTCAACCAAACTATTATCATACAATGGAAGGTTGCAACTAATAAAAAGTATCCTGTTCGAGATGCAGACTTACTGGGCACAGATCTTCTTGCTGCCTAAGAAGATTATTAATATGGTGACTAGTATATGTAGAATATTTCTATGGACATGTACAAATGAGGTGTCTAGAAAAGCTCTAGTTGATTGGGAGAAAGTATGCATGCCAAGAGCAGCTGGAGGCCTGAACATACTAGACTTCTACATATGGAATAAGTCAGCAATTTGCAAACTGTTGTGGGCTGTCAACCAGAAGAAAGACAGTCTATGGTTGAAATGGATTCACTATTTTTACATAAAGCAGAAGACTATATCAGATTGTCCTATTCCTAAACAAGCCTGCTGGCTAGTTAGGAAAATATTAGAGGCAAGAAACTGGTTAGAGAATTATGGGAATCTTGCAACAATCCTAAGAAGCTTTGAATCACAAGGAAAGTTCAGCATTAAGAAAGCATACAAATTCTTTACACCACAGTTTCAGAAAGTAGAATGGAAGAAAGCAGTACTGATCCAAAACATTATTCCCAGGCATCAATTTATTCTATGGCTAGCAATACAGAACATATTGGCTACTGTGGACATGCTAGAGAGATGGGGAATCCAAGTTGACAAAGGGTGTGTACTGTGCTCAATTGGAAGAGATGAAACATTGGAGCATATGTCATTTGAATGTTCTTACTCACAATATATGTGGAGTTCTATATTGGGGTGGCTAGGCATACAGAGAAGGATAGGGAACTGGCAGGAAGAAGTGCAATGGGTGGCAAGCAGAGTTAGCGCCAAACCATGGACACATATAATGGGATTCCTCTTTGCAGCTACAGTCTATCATATATTGGGTGAAAGATATGTTAGAAGGTTTCAATTGAAGAAGTAATAAGTCAGACAGAGAACAAGAGATATAGCTATACAGTTATATATTAAAAGTCAAAATAATTGTAAATGGAAAAGTGTATTAGATAGGTCGAATTGGTACCCAGTCTAGGCAAGTATAGAAATGTTTGTAAATATCTGAGAAACTGACTCAATAGTCCAAATGAGTTAGATGCATATAAAGTTATTACTTGGTGAAATAAAAATTTGTTTTAACCAAAAAAATAACACATTGTTTGACCTATAGGCAGGATTTCTAACAAATAACACATTGTTTGATCTATAGACAGGATTTCTACCCAACTTTTATTGCAAAAAATACAAAACCCTTCCCGATTTCACTAACACCCCAGAATTGTTATTACAAAATGATTATTACAGAACAGAAATTAATGTAATGAATTACAAAGTGAGTAAACTATAGGGAGCCTACAGCAGGCCCAAATACACTTGGACAGGCCAGGCCTTCAACTCACAATGGCTCCAAAACCCATGTTCATACAACATAACCAACAACAACAACAACAACAACAACAACCCAGTAAAATTCCACTAGTGGGGTCTGGAGAGGGTAGAGTGTATGCAGACCTTACCCCTACCCCGAAGGGGGTAGAGAAGCTCTTTCTGGGAGACCCTCGGCTCATAGACACTACAATCGTAACAACAAAAACCCAAAATAATATCAGCAACGTGAGAGATAACAAATAAATGGAAAAGCAGTAATACAAATATTATGCAAAAGTGTGAATGTGACGACCCGACCAGTCGTCTCATGAGTTACCGCTCTGTTTCTCTCATTTTTGCTTCTTTATGCTTCGTTATCCATGTTTTTATGTGGTCGAGTTGATTGGTTTGAGTTCGGAGTGAATTTGGTAAGAAATAAGATACTTAGTCTCTTTTAAGAAGGCTTGAGTTGGAAAAGTCAACCGGATGTTGACTTATGAGTTAGAGGGCTCGGATGTGAATTTTGATGGTTCAGTTAGCTTCAGGAGGTATTTTTGACTTAGGAGTATGATCGGAAGTGGTTTTGGAGGCCCGGAGTAGAATTAGGCTTGAATTGGTGAAGTTAGTATTTTTGCGAATTCTGGTTGATAGGTGAGATTTTGATCCGAGGGTCGGAGATTTCGAGAGTTGTTGTAGCTTTGTTTTGTGATTTGGGATGTGTGTGCAAAATTTTAGGTCATTTGGATGTGGTTTGGTTGGATTTTTGATCAAAAGCGTGTTTTGGAAGTTTTTAGAAAACTTAGGCTTGAACTCGATGTGAATTGATAGATTTAGTGTTGTTTGAGGTGTTTTGATGATTGGAACAAGTTTGAATGAGGTTTTAGGATGTGTTGGTGCTTTTAGTTGAGGTCCCGGGGGCCTCCGGGTGATTTCGGATGGCTATCGGGATGTTTTGAGACTTTGAAGATTGCAGAAAATTGCAGCAGCAGTTGCAGACAATTTTGGTCTTTGCGATCGCTTGAGGTCCCCCGCGATCGCATAGAAGGATTTTTGGCAGGCCGGGATAATGCTCTTCGCGTTCGCATCAGTGGGGCCGCGTTCGCATAGCTCTGGGAAATCAAGCATCGCGATCGCGTGATGGCTATTGCGATCGTATAGGTCATTTTGGAGGTCTTGAAATATTGCTCTTCGCGATCGCGAGCCTGGGGCTGCAATCGCATAGAAGGAAGTTCAGCAGCTGGGCAGAAGGTTTTTAAACATTTCCTCCGCGAGCTTAAGTCATTTTTCCACCATTGTTGAGTATTTTGGAGGTAAGTTCTATGAACCAAAAACATGATTATATTGTGAAATTAACCTAGGAATTCATGGGAATCTAGCTAAAAATGGAAGAACTAGGGCTTGGGATTTTGAGATTTTAAAGTGAGATTTGAAGGGCCATTTGAGGTCGGATTTGAGAGTTTTTGATATGTATGGACTCGTGGAAGGATAAGGAACCTGTTGATGTAAAAATTTCTGAGTTTCGAGAAGTGGGCCCGGGGCTCGGGTTTTGCTAATTTCGGGATTTTTGATATTTTCGATTGTTTTCACATGGATTTTGTTCCCTTAGCCTATTGTGACGTATTCGTTCTGGTTTTGGTCAGATTTGATGCGCGAGGAGGCCGATTTGAGAGGCAAGGGCATAGCGAGCTAGACCTTTAGCCGGTTCGAGGTGAGTAATGAATGTAAATGATGTCCTGAGGGTTTGAAACCCCGGATTTGCACATCGTAGTGCTATATTGAGGTGAGACACGCGCTTGATGATGAGCGTCGGGTCGTTTTCTATTGGGGATTGTGACTCGGTTCATCCCGAGCGATGCTTTTACCGCATATTTGATTGAAGCTTAATTGATATCATCATTATTTGGATTGATTGCCATATGTGGGCTTTGTGCCAATTATTTGAACCCTTCAGGGAGTTTTTATCACTATTTCTCACCATTTTGATTTACTACTTGAACTCAGTCGTACCGTTTTCTACTGTGTTACAACTCAGCCACTTTTACTCAGTTTTTGAAACTAAAATGATATGTTAAATGATGTTTTGGGCTGAGAACTACTATTTTACTAATGCCCGAGGGGCTTATATAATTTCTGGACTAAGTGCGGCCAAGGGCCAGATGTGAGGATACTATGGGATCGGGCTGCGCGTCGCAGCAGTGTTATACTGATATTGATATGAGGCCGAGGGCCTAGATTGGTGCCATGAGATGGCTTGTTATTGCGCTTGGGCCGTAAGGGGCCCCTCCCGGAGTCTGTACACCCCCAGTGAGCGCCGTCGAAATATATGGATCGGGCTGCACGCCGTAGCGGGTACTATAGGGTACCATTCTATGTGTTGATTTTTCTCTTACTATCTATCACTTAACTGCTTACTTGTTGCAGAACTATCATATTTCGTTTTCCATTGGTCTACTGCTTTCATATTACTTGTTTTAAACTGCCGCATTATAGACTACCCTGTGTTCCTCCAGGATTTCTTATTCTCAGTCATTATTTATGCTTATTACTCACCGGGTCAGAGTACTCACATTACTCCCTGCACTTTGTGTGCAGATCCAGGTGCATCTGAGGCTGTTGAGGATTTTCACTCGGGC